TCTCTCTCTCTCTCTCTCTCTCTCTCTCTCTCTCTCTCTCTCTCTCTCTCTCATACTGGGAATTGAAATAAGGCCCTTCACAGTGAGCTACATTCCCACTCTACCCCTCTTTAACTTTTATTTTGAGGGTCTCATTCAGTTGCTAAGTTGCCCAGGGTGGACTCAAACTTTCAATCTTCCTGCCTCAGCCTCCCAGAGTGCTGGAAATACAGGCGTCCACCACTATGCCTGGCTTTGATATTCTTCCTGCCAGGCCTTTAGATGATGTTCTCTGTATCAGCCAGTGCCCCAGGAGACACTGTCGTCCACTTTGGCTGAGCTGGACAGTTGCCTGCAGCTGCTCGAGGCCAAGTTCCTTCGGGATCAGGCCTTCCTCACTGGTCCCCAAGTCTCTGTGGCTGACTTGATGGCCATCACGGAACTGATGCTTGTGAGTGTCAGGGGGCGGGGTGACCTGCTCAATAGCAGGGAGTCCTGGGAAGGAGCTGCCTTCCCCACTTGTGTTGACCTTTCTGGTTGTGGGACTCTGGAGGAGTCTCAGTGTCCTGAGTCTCAGGCTCCTCACCTATAAAATGAACCCTCATAAGCTCTCACTTCGGGATACTGAGAGGCTTCCCAGGGTCCCCTGGGAGAGGCATCCCTGAGCCATCACACATATGGAGGAGGTGGGAAAATCCTATCAGGGAAACCTAAAGCACACCATGCTGCCTTTGCTTGGGGCTGGACATGTTCCATATTTCTGCTCCACAGTTCATGATGCCATTCCTTTTGTATCCTCCCTCATGTTTCCTCCACCCTCTGGCTCCCACCTGACCTTTGCAGAGAGCTTTAGCACATGCTTATGGTATCTGGGCATTTGGCCCCATGTCGCTTCTCCTGGGAGACTTCCCTGGCCTCCCCACACCCAGGCCACTTCAAATGACCCCTCTGCAATCCTTAGGCCCAGTGTTTCCTCCCCTCAGTCCTCTTGGGAAGCAGGCTCCATGCTCCCCGGGCTAAGCACACATCACAGTTGGAGGTTGACCAGGGGAAGAGCTATCTGATCAGGAATGGCCCAGTCCCCCAGGTCTTTTGCCTCTGGTGACACTGTCTCCCAATGGTGGGGTACAGGGCTAGTTCATGACCCATCTTGGAGAACGGAAGTCCTCCCTTATTCCTTGGCCTTCCAGGTGTTGCCAAGCAGTATGCTCTCCCAGGTTTACTCCTAATCCTAACCACTGTCTTCTCTGTGCCCAACTGGGTCCCAAACTTGCCACCTCCAGGACTGTCACAACTTTACCTGTCTTACGTCTTAGCCCCTTTGTGAATCTTCTAATAAACCACTAACTAACAGGACAAGCAATGATAGTTTTGGCTCAATCGCCTTCTCATTGAGGAGCTCTTAATATGCACACTTGGAATTCTCTATGTGTAACTGAAAGGACAGCCTTGTTTGAAATAACCCCGACATTCCCTGGAGGACAGTGAGTCACCACTCACACAACAGGCTACAAGGGCAGGAGTCTTGGGGACCAGGTAGAGATACCATAGCCCTAGGGATTTGCCCAGTCCCAACCTGCACACACACACATTACTAAGTCTCCAAACTGTGTTAGAGAAGTGCAGACTACCCCAGGAAACTTGAAGTTGTCTGACTTTGAAATCCTGGCAACTCGTTCAAAATATTATTTAACCAGCACAGTGATAGTTACGAGGGTCAAGCCTATGAGAGGCCCTACAGGTACGTGGGTTCAGGCTTCCATGTGCCTACAGATTAGGAACAGGCTGGGCCTGGGCCAGAAAGGCAGAGGGAAAAACAACCCCGCCCCTAAGGCTGGAGCGCGGTGGGCAGGGCAGTATCCGGTTGGGGCTGGGAGGCAGGACTTCCGGAAATCTGAGCCAGCGCTGGTGACCTCAGAGATGGGGATGTAGCCCTGGTGGCCAATGTGGGGCGCCGATTTTGCCCAGCCCTTTGGCGCCCCGCCCACATGCCTATTCCACAGTTTTAAGCCATACTGGCCAGACAGAGAGTTTATTCTCCGCTGAGGCTGCTTCTGCCTTCCGGCTGAACATGCCTTTCATTGAGCTGGACACAAACCTGCCCGCCAGCCGCGTGCCCGCCGGGCTGGAGAAGCGGCTGTGCGAGGTCGCCGCCACCATCCTGGGCAAACCCGTGGAAGTGAGCGAGGATGGGGGTGCCCAGGGCGAGGGGAGGTTCAGGAACCAGGGGTCCCGCTCTGTCCACACCCCGCCTCCACAGAGTTTCCCAGATTCATCCTCAGAGACCTCCAGTTCTCCCAGCAGCCTGGCCTTCCGTGCCCCATGGATCTGCGGGCCTGCCTTGCACTGCCCTCGCTTGCCCTACCCGGGCATGACCCCCACGTGACTTAAAGGACCTGGCCTTCTAGGCCCTGTGTGCCCGATCCTACTCACTGCAGCCTCAGCTGTGAAACTTTTGTGTCTCTCTCAGCACATGAACGTCACTGTGCGGCCTGGCCTGACCATGGTGCTGAGCGGATCCACAGAGCCCTGCACCCAGCTGCTCATCTCTTCCGTCGGTGTGGTGGACACTGCGGAGAAGAATCGCGGACACAGCGCCAGCTTCTTCGAGTTTCTCACCAAGGAGCTGGGCTTGGGCCAGGACCGGTTTGTAGGGGAAGTGCAAGGGCCCATCTGGGACAACTGTGCAAGCAGAGGCAGTGACTCTGCCTCAGGGCCCTATGTAAGGTTAGGGGAAAAAATTCCTCACCCTGGCCAAGAAGGATACCTTAGAGTCTGTTCCAGGAAGGCTGTACACTCCTTAGGCCCCCTGATGGTGCCTTTGTGTTGCCTTGTGGCTCCAGGATTGTTGAATTCCTGGCTCAGCGGCCATCCCTGTGACACCTGGGCAAGGTGTGGCTTCTTGGACCTCAGTGCTTCCACCTGTGCACAGGGAAGGAGCTCTTTAGGCAACTCCTCAGGGACCCTGCCAGGGAGGGTCACTGGGGCCTGTGCCCTGCACCTGCCTTGGCACCTGGCAAGGTAGGAGGGTGTTATTACCCTGAGGAAGCCAGAGAATCTGATTCTCAAAGAGAACATCTCCAGGCTGTTGAAATGAAATGTGGGTGTGTCCCGAGACCATGACCTTTGTAACCAAATGAGACCGGGAGGAGGGGGCCACCATATAGCAAAAAGAGCTTTAGCTTGGACGACTAGACAGCCGGATACATCCAGACCCCTTCCAGTGTCTCCATCTGCAGACTGCATCTGACAGGACTACTGTGTTGTCTGGGGAAGGGGAAGAGCTTAACTGGGATGAGCAGGGCAGCAAAATGTCTGGGGCTGATTGGGCTGGCCTGAGGGCCCCCGGGGAGACTATGAGGCAGGGGTCTTGCAAGGTGAAGAGTTTGCCAAGCAGCTGACATCTTTTTCTCTGTTTCCTGAAGGATAATTATCCGCTTTTATCCAATGGAGCCCTGGCAAATTGGATTCAATGGTACTGTCGTAACATTTTTATGACACAAAGGCACAAAGGATGCGGGACATCAGCCTGTGAGCTGGCTGCCTCTTCCCGAGAAGCCAGGGCCTGGCAGACTCAGGGCCTGGTGGATACCGGGTTCTGGCACTCGTCTGCAGATATGTCTGTGACCTTGCAGTTGTCCTCTTCCCCACCCTCATTCCAAATAAACGGAGAGGACCTTATCGTCTAAATGTGATGTATTTATTTCCCTACTACCTTCCTGTCTCCCTAGGCCTCTGGGCAGCAAGTTTGGTTCATGACGAGGGGATCTTAGGGAAATGGAGGTGGCACATTTCCCGTTTAGGGCTGCTCTCTGATATGTCCAGAGCTGAAATCTTAGGGTGGAGAGCTCAGCCTGGTGCTTCTGCTCTCTGTACCCATGTGCAGACCAGTGGGGACAAAAGGGCAGCTAGTCTGGCCTGAAACGTCCTGTGTATTCTGATCTCCTGATCATCCTGACCTCAGCCAGAGCCCTTCGATCTGCAGAGTGCTGTGCTGGCTGGGTGAACTGGGCTGGCTGGGCTTCCTGGACCTTCCCTGGACTTCACTTTGCACCTTGATTCTTCTGAGAATTCACTGGAACTGAGCACTTGGCAAAACCCATGGCAAACATCAGAACTGCAATGTTTGCCAACATCTCCAGGGTGGAAATGAAAAATCTGCCACTAGGAACTAAACCAATACCTTCTTCTCCTACATCTGTGTGCTGTATCATGCCTTTGCATGTCAGTGTTCATGAGTGGGATGGGGAAGCCCAAAGGAAGTCTCCTTTTCTGATATTGCATGCAGAGTTTACAGCTTATAACCCATAGCTCCTGGTGGGTGTGGTTTCCCTGCACAGGCTTGATGATCCTTATATTTAGTATACCTTTGAAGTATGAGATTGAGAGTTTCATCGGTGCAGTCCACACAGTGAATGAAGCTAGTTTCTAATGGAATACCTGTACCTCTGGGGTTGTATCTGTCCTCTGCTGAGGCCTGTCCTTAAAAGCAAGCACTTGGCAGTTTCTTGGCCAGCTCCATGTCCCAGCTGTTTCGCCCGCCACTCATTCCTCCTGCAGGGTGTTTTATGAGTGTCCTGCTTCTAGCTTGGAGTGTTTGTGGGTTGAATGTGAATGAATGCTTGCAGTGGCTGAGGTCGAACCATCAGTAGAATGGTAGGGTGACGCTCTCCCCACAGTAAATCCATCCGCCCCACCCTAGGGATCTTGTGTCATCTGCTGGCTTGGTGAACTGACCCCTCCCTACCTCTCCAGTTCTCTGCCCCTACAGTGGCCCTGAGCTTTGCTTTCTGATAAAATGGCACTGCCCAAGCCTCTGGCACAATCTGTACTATTTTTCACCTTTGAACCCTTGTCACAGTGTCCAGAGGTTGAGACTGTGTTTCAGTGGCACTTTTATCAAAAGTTTCCCTGCAATGCATTACTTTAGATAGAATTCTCATGGGAGCTGTTTCCAGGGTTGTCCATGCGTGTTATCCATGCAATTTGAAAAACCATCTGTTTCTGCTCTCCCATTTTATGCCCCACCCGATGTTTTTCTCAAAGTCTGCGTTGAAGACAGTAATTTTTGTGCCTCCAGTCATCAGTAAAGCTTTTTTGTCCTGAACTATCTTTCAGCCTCATCTTACTTTATTATTTTGTGTATTATTTTTTAAAGACAGGCTCTCACTGAAGTTTAAGAGAGCCTTGAACTTGCTACGTACCCCAGGCTGGCCTTAAACTCTCAATCTTTCTGCTGCTTCCTCCCTAGCCAGGCAGATTTTTATTTTAGGTTTTAAAATATTTAAAAAACATTTTTTTTTTGCTGGTGTGGCATATGCGTGTAATCTAGCTACTCAGGAGGCTGAGGCAGGGTGATCTCAAGTTCTAGGCCAGCCTGGACAATTTTGAGAGACCCAAAGGGCTGAGGACATAGCTCAGGGATCCAGGGCCCCTGTGTTCAATCCCTAATACTCCCAAAATTAATTTAAAATTTTTAAAAATTATTTTTGTTACTTTTAAATAAGGTAACAAGGCCATAATATTCATTCTTGTTACAATCAACCTATGTGACTCAAGCAGCTATGAATTTAACCAGTGTGAAAGCCTTTCCTAAAATGCTTATAAGAAGCCCTTAACTCTGGAACCTCTTTTCAGGGCAAATTCTGGAAACAAATCCATTCATTTATGGAATCTTGTTATTGTTTCAGTAGTTCGTGCCTCTTGGGCTTCAACTCTTTTTGGAAACAGGCGTGGATAGAATGGATGAGAAAGCTTTTCCACCCTTAGTTCCATATAAGTGTTCCCCAAATTTCCACTCGCTTCAGAACACTTGCCCCACCTTATAACGAGAAAACACAACCCCTCACTCAGCGACTGCTCAGGACCAGGGGGACGCCAAGTACTGGAAGTCAGACCTCTCAGCCCACCCAGCCCCTCTAGCGCTGGGACCCAGAGCAACGGGTCTGGAACTAGGGAGCTTCACTCTAAGGGGTACCCCCTGCCGGGTCCAGCGAGTCACTCAGCGGGCAAGAAGTGCATGTGCCCATGCTGATTGGCTGGCTGGGCCGGCACCAAGCCAATGACAATACTCCCTGTTCCCTTCAGGTTCCCAGCCTGGCTGTGCGGGGTACCCGTGCAGGAGTGGTTGCTTTGGGGACTGCTGCGTGAGTGTCTGGGCCCCACACGAGGGTGGCTCAGAGGTGAAGGCGTGGCTCATGTGAGCCAGGGGCATGGGGCTAAGAGCCTTCGGGGAGGGGGCTGAATCTTGTGAGGACTCTGGAGGCTTCCCCCGCATCCCCAGGGCCAGTCTGAGAAACGGAGGCCAGGAAGCCAGCGGGACAAGACTTTGTCTCTGCTCCATGGGCCTCCTCATGGCTCTTGTTGCCACCTTGGTGTGCTTAGGTGACTCCAGCTGAGAATCTTGACCAGTCTGCTGTACTGTTTCCCAGAAGGATGCGGATCCTGTTAGACCTCACCTGACATGACACTCCCAGGTGACTGCTCCCAGTGGCTTTGGGGGCCACTCAGGGACCTGGGTTATTGCAGGTCATAATTCTGGATTTTATGGGATAAGAGTCCTTCTATGTGATTCATTTTGGTTGTTAAAATCTATCTTTAGAATGATCTTGTTCAGGAGTTGGCAAACTTGTAAATATATTACTATAGTATTATTAATAAACAATATAGTATTATGTTATATAATATGTTATTTTATATAATATGTTATAATATATGTAGTCATATATAATATATTATAGTATTATTAATAAACATAGCAATACTTTTAGTAGTATTTTCAGCATTGGAGGCAGCAGTCTGCTCTGATATTGTATGGATACAGCCAAAGACAATACATAAGAGAGTGACTGTTCCAATAAAATTCTATTATGGATTCTGAAATTTACATTTTGTATAAACTCTTATTTTCATACTGTTATAGACGGTGAACATAAATCTGCTTGTCAAAAAATAGGCTTTTTGTTGTGAGAAAAAGAAAAGTTTATTTCAGTGAACAGGGACTAAAGTCAGGGGAATTCTAGCAGCTAGCTGGGAAGAGCCAAGTTTATCACATCCGTTTGTGGATGGGCTGACTTAGGAGAGAGAAATAGCAGCAGCTAGCTGGGAGAGATTTCATCCGTGGGTGGATGGGCTAACACCAGGAGAGAGATATTAGAAGCTATCTGGAAAAGGAATTACACTTACATAGGTATCGAAGGGGCTAAGAAATCTGGAGTGAAATGTTTATGATTGAATCCAAGGACAGTCTGCACAGGCATGTAGACAATCAGTGGACTTTTCGGTATGGGGGGAGATTGCACATTTCATTTTGAGTCCATTTGTCCTATTTACTGAGAAGCTGCTATCGTTTGCTGGAAGCAGCCTGTTTGCTTTGACCTGTTTGTTTAGGCCAGGCATGACACATACAAATTATTTTCTTACTGAAAATGTAAAAGCCATTCTTTGCTCCTGGGCTGTACAAAAGCAATGGGAATAGTTAGTTGGAGAATCCTTGTCTAGTTCAGAGCTTCACAGAGTAGAGGAAACTGAGAGCTAGATAGGATCTGGGCCAAGTCAGTCACACAGGCAAGTTTGGCCAGGACTGAGCTTAATTAAGCCCATCTCTGGATTGCTGGGCTAGAGCTCTCCAGGAAACATCACTTTTCACATGGTGGACAAGGGTGCCCAGGTGCACAAAGTGTTGTTCTTTATCATGTGCAATTTTGGTGGTGCTCAGCTCCCTCTATGTTTCTAAAGTCCTTGGTTGAGGGAGTAAGGTTGTGGTCTTGTTGGCTGAAGAGTTTGTAGCAGTAGTCACCAACCAGTAGTGCCTGAAGCCCTAGTCAGTGGGTGGTAACAGTGAGGAACAGGCCTGAAGAGCAGGGATGGGAGCCCTGTGTAGGAATTCTTCCAATGCCACCAGTACCTATGTGACCGTGGCCACCTCCAGGACTATATCACTGTATTGGGAGTAATCAGAAAGGATAGTTGTGAAAATTAAGCGAGTTGGTATGGATACAAATATGCAGGCAGCCTAACTGATGCAGGCAACATCAGTCATAATGGCTCTACCATTATTTTCTATATTGCCATCATTGTCTCTATGGGCATTTCTAATATGTCAGACACACTGTACTAATTGCTTTCCATGAATACTTATACCTTTTTGCAAGGAAAGTATCTTTATTGTTTTGTTTTTCAAGTACTAGGCTTTAACCCAGGGTCTTCACATTGAGCCCTTTTTACTTTATTTTGAGACAGGGTTCACTAAGTTGACTAGCCTGGGCTCAAACTTGCAATCCTCCTCCCTCAAACTCCCAGAGTTCTGGTATTACAGGAAAATGCCACAACGTCCACCTCTTATCCTATTTTTAATGATGAGAAAACAGAAACTCCAGACTATTGTAATTAAAAGAAGGTCCCCAAGACACAGCATAGTCGAAATCCCAGATGTTCAACCAAAAGCTGTCAGAGGAAAGCAGCAGATCACTTATGAAGGTAAACCCACTAGAATGACAGCAGACTTCTCACCATAAACTTTAAAGGCAAGGAGAGCTTGGAGTGAAGTGTCTGAGGCCTAAAAGAAAACTTCCAGCCCAGACTAATATAGCCTGCAAAGCTATCTTTCAAAATTGGTGGAGAATTAAGGACATTCCGTGACAAAGGGCATCTTAAAGAGATACATGAACACCAAACCAGAACTCCAAAAA